GCCCGTACAGAAAGACATTGGACAGTTTTGTTTTCATTTTTACAAAGTTCACCAGTAGCAATAAGGCATTTATCATCTTTTCTGTCTCACATATTGCAGGCTGGAATGCCGCACGTCGCTGTCGCTATCGCACATACAAGAACGAAGCAAATATTTGTTCCTATAATAAGAGCATTACTATTATTACTATTTGAACTACTGTGTCCTTTGTGGCTTGAAGGAATGCTATACCGTTGACATGACAAACTCGACTTTGTTCGGGTCGAGTTTCTTCACGTTCGTCAACCCTACCAAATTGCTGGTGTTTAAGAGAAAAAGACGGTTATGCTGGAATTGCGAGCAGCGCGCTGGCAAGAAATCGGTTAGCATCGCTCCAGGGCGGCACCTCGTCTGGGCCAGGTGTCGCGGACGGTATGCTAAGTACAACCTAACCTTCAGTTGTCCACCGAACACCAAAGACTACTCAGAAAACTACGTCATCAATAGATTTTAAAAGTAGTCCTCACTAATTTGGCCAAACAAGTAATAGCCATCTTCCCTGATAACGTCAAATTTTCAGATTTTCTTGAATATTTCCCGCATGGAAAATATTATGTAATGTTTCCCTTATGTCTTCGGCTGGCGACTCACATTGGCCGTACATCAGGATAGACGAGCACAGGAACTAGACCGCAACCCGAAAACCGTAGCTCATGCAGGCTATATGGCAAGCCAACAGACACATTTTGCATCGTTAAAAGGTGGCGGCGACTGTGTGTAAAGGTATGTTCCTGCTGTCTAGGAGTAGTTTGTCCAGCCATGCGCGCTTCCTGCTGGAAATATAACACAATCACACGCACGCACCAAATGACGTGTCTTGTCGTTATTGCCATCGTGTCGCTTTGTTTTGTTGTATGCTTCTTTATACATGTAGGTATCCAGCAGCAGGGCAACGAAGGCCAACACAAGCGGCCTCCGAAGATCTGCTTGCTTTATGGTAGGTCTTACGTTACGCGGGTGACTTGCTGCTGATGATTATTGCGGGCTATGCGAAGCTTGAGCCGGGTTAGCTAAGGCGTAGGGCCTTACGGCCGTTTAAGTGGTACGACTTGAGGCCGGCGATCCGTGTCCTCAGGATCGCCTTTTGCATAAATAGCGCGTGATGCAGGTTTTTCTGTATCTTGTTTTTGTTGTTCAGCACGCGCCCCGCCCTCCCACCCTGGAGGCCGCGTCGCCCGCCCTTTCGCTCTACTA